TCCAATAGGAAGTGTGGACCGTTAGCACTTATTCCTGTTTTTTCTTCAATCTGGCCGTCATTTACGCTGTTTGTCTAATTCTCACGCGCTTGGTTCTTTATTTCAATGTGAGCGGGCTTTGTTCACAAAAACTGTTAAACGCTTACGACCGTATGCCGCAGGGTGCTCTGAAATAGTTGGGCGCCTACGTCATTTTTTTAGAACGTTGTGATAAATTTGCTGGCATTACAGTTGATGTTGAACTTATTCAAGAGGCAACGTGAGCGCCAGCGATAACGTGGGAATGTTCGGTCACACATGCATCCGACAGTCTTACGGGGGCTTGTTTGACTGTATCTCAAGATTGCCTGAATCAGCTCCCCAGTAAAGTCCGCGCCTCTGTCAATAATCAAGATTTCTAGGGCGCCAAGCTTAAGCTCAACCCGACTAGAGCCCACCACCTCGAACCCTGGCGTGGCCTTGTGGCCGGAACCTCAAACCCGAGGTCGGACCGGACCCACCGTGAAATCGAGTTTGCACGGCCCACGGGCTGGGCTGGGTCCAGCTTATTGGGTAGGCCCGAACCCGTGTAGTGCTTTAGCTCAAACTACGACTCATGCCGTCAAAAGCATTCCTATTATGGCCTTTAGGCGCTCACTCAAGCGTGCCCAATTCCATAGTTGTGTTTCTACTTAATCAAAACAGTACACTTGGAAGCTTTACCATCAGTAAACACGTGCAAAGTCCAATATATAAGCTTACAACTCCACATGCATTAATAATTGGCACTTGCAGTAGAAGAAGTGGGACTCTCTAATTCAGCTCCAGCTCTTCAAAAATGAAGAAAAGTGCTTTCCTCTTCAAAACAACTTTCCGCTCTGTTTTACTGACGTCCCGGTTCTTTTTTTTTTTAGGAGCGTTAAACCACTGTCCAGCGACCTTTTGTCGTCACACGTTGCTAACATCCGGTTATTGGGACTGATGACAGGCCTGCCTGTCTGCTTGTTTGGTGTTTTACATAGACGAACAATATCAAATTAAAACAATAGTAGTTTCCATTCAGTGGTGGGTTTATCATGAGTTATCAAACCTGCGTTTTGGGAGAAATTCATGCATTTTGTGACGGAATGTCACGAAAAAGTTTTGTTTAGGGAACGTGCCGCTGTGTGTCGTGATATTCCGTTGGCCTAATTGCTTGTATATATACAGTTATGCATCTCAGCACTCAGTTTCTCAGACTGCGATGAAGCTGTAAAACATAAAAAATAGAAAGGTATTTGAAACTAGTGGCTTTTTAATCTGGTGCCTCCTATCATTGGCGAGCGCAATTTATTAACTGTATGGTATACATGAAATTCCTCATAAAAGTGGTCTGTTATTTGACTAAACGGGTGTTTACCATAGCTATATAGAGCGATTTGTATTAACTCTTTCATTTATGAGTCTTTTTGTTGTTGATATTTTGACCATTACAGTGGTTTTTCCTTTTGCAGATGAGCACTGCCATTGCGAAAAAGTCCGAACATCCGTCCGCAAGTGCGGCGTGCTGTGCATGACCTCGAACCTTTAGTACCTTGCTGACGACATAGATAGATGAATTTCCGGTGTGGTATTTTGTTTTTACGAAAATGTACAGCCTTTAAATACAGGCGAAGTAAAGCTGCTATATGCACTCTGCGGCACTACGCTCTACCTAAAGTGAGTTGACATGTCCGCTTTAAAATTGATCACAACATTTTATGCAGCTATCTCCGTATTGCCTGCATGCCTTCACAAAATATGTGCTGCAGTATGACATGTCTTTACCAAGAAAGCATGAATAATTCTTGATATCAGAAGGTGCAACTAACGCGTCAGACAAAATATAAGGAGGCAGGATGACATGCAACCAGCTACTAGCGTGCTTTATAGTGAAAAAAAACATAACTTTAGAATGTAGTTAATCTTGATAAAACAAATGAGGTGATATTATAAGGTAAAACTACATTAGCACATAGCACAACTATTTCTCGTGTCGTACGACAAAGGACACCTCAGCTTCCTGCAGATTAAGCAAAAAATAACTCACGCAACTAGTCCCCTGCCACCCGATGGGAGAGGCCCAACAATCACATTTGTAGAAAGTTGCCAAAAGACCATGCCCGTCGTCGGACAGGCATAATGGATCTGGCCGAAATATAGTCACCTTGTATTTCTTCAACAGCATTATTACTGAATGCAGCAAGTGGTTTTAAATCATATTATGATATTCAGAAAAAATGCGGTTCGACTTCCATGAAAATGATTAATTGATCGGGTGTAAAGTCCTTAGAGCGCTCAACATATGATTATGAGACACGCCGCACTGGAAGGCTCTGAAAAATTTGAATGCCTGGGCTTCTTTAAAATGCACGTAAATAGATGTTCATGGGCCTCAAGCTTTTTTGCGTCTTTTGAAAATGCAGTTGCCGTGGCTGGGGATCAATCACGCCATCTTCCGGTCAGTGGTCGGTAATTAAAACCACTAAACCACCTTGTCGATTTCCATGAAAATCAATTGTGAAGACAAATTGCTCATATATACCTCATTAATAATTTAGAAGTAATTGTTTCACAGCAAAAAGACGCTCTTCCAATATTCTGGAAGAGCGTCTGGAAGAGCGTATATAGTGGGAGTCACACTCGTTGAGGGATCATTTCCATTTATTACAATGAAGTAAAGTAGGCTGCACGACGGCTGTAAGTCGGCTGGAGTTCGCATGGTCAGAGGTTCAAAGCCGTGCTTTTTTTATTGAAAATATGGATTTTCAAACAGCCAATAAAAATCCAGGCGAGCTACCAATCATTTGCCGTTGAGAGCTGGTAGGCTGTCAGGTGGTATTCTCCAGTGCTAAGAAGAGCAACAGAACGTCATACTTGGTGATAGCGCGGCACCCTAGCGTGCAATGATAAAGATTGATTTGAATGCAGATGTCGCACCATTCCCAATCGTATATATTCTTGAAACAGGTGATAAATCATCGCAAAGAAATAAAAGAAAGAAGAGGTCTGGGGCGCGGCTTCACTGACGACCACCCAGTGATGCATTTCTTCACCAGAGCAGAATTGGCCACACTGGGGCGCTACTTGGCCGCTATGAAAAAGCCACTTTATAAAAGTACCGAAAAACTCTTGGCCCTCAATCGGCACGGCTGTGAAGCTAATGTACAAAGCGGTGGTCAGACATGCACTGCAGTGGAGCATGCTATGGATCTCTGGGTCTGGACAGGCCGCCATTTGAATCTGAACTTCGCTACGTTCAACGCTAGAAAGCGATCTATTGAGGCTAGTCTTGCTCTGCTATTCGAGAAATTAGAGAGTGTTAAATGCGGTGTATTATGGCTCAGCGAAGTTTGGAATGCAAGTGAGGTTTATACAGTGCTGAATAGGGGACAAGATATATGCTACTCGGATTAGTTGACAGGAAAGAACTAGGGGGGGGGGGGGTTAGGTACGAGATTAGACTGGCAGCATAGATGAATACTATAGCACCAGTGAGAGGGTGGCAAGTATCATAATTAGGCTTAACAAAAAGATACAAGATGAAGGTGATACAAGCCTCCACACCTACATCGAGCCATAGTGACCGTTTGGTAGAACGCTTCTATGAACGCGTAGAGTCACTCATTAAAAAAAGTAAAGACACAGTTAACTATTCTGATGGGGGGCTTTAATTCTAAAGTAGGCAAGAAACAGGCCGCAGTTTATGCAGTGGGGTTTATTGCATCGGCTCTAGAAACGCCAGAGGGAGTTTTTATTAGAGTGAGCAGAACGTAGTAGTTTACGGATCCTCAGTATTTTCTTCAGAAAACAGGCTAACCGTAAGTGGACGTGGCGATATGGCGAAACTAAAAATGAAAGTGAATTCTGCGTGCATACTCATTGTACAGAATGTAGAAGTAGTTGGCAATATCCGATGCAGTGACCGTAAAATGGTAAGAACTCGTATTTACCTAGATTAAAGAAAATCAAAGGCATGAACTGATACACAATAAGCCCATGAATCAGCTAGAGGTAAGAGGGAAGTAGTTGTACACATCTATCGCCCTACGGATTGCGTTCCACAAGAATTACGTCAATCAACAGCATTATTGACCCGTGTTATTTAAACTGCCCGATTTCTAACTTTTTGTTCTGGTATGCACTTCCCTAGGCAGAAGTTTTCTTCTTTGATTTTTCTTCTCGTTTTCATTTGTATTGGTTGTTGCGGCCTTGTGACTGCACAGCTTGCCGATATAAAAACCTGAGAAGCTGCCTTGAATAAAATCAGTGTAGTTAGTGTGTACCTGTTTTCATCTGTTTTTTCCTTGTGTCCTGCCTAGTTGCGCTTCTCGATATTTTCTTTATGACTTAAAGGATGCGAAAAATGCGCAACTGCGCATATCGAAAAAAATAATTTTTGCCGGGAACACATGTACAGTTGGTTCATCAGTTACAGTCGTAATTTTAACAAAATATGCACAATTGTCCAGAAAAACTGATGTTATTTTATTGTATAGGACATTTACTTGTGCTAATATCTTCATTTTGTACCGCACCTGAACAGCCGCATTTCAGTTAGCTTGCGGGATATCATTAATTATTCCACCTCATTGTTATTGCATTCAAACCAACAGATCGTGCAGTACCTCTGCAGAGTTAAACATGAACGGCCAGAAAACAATCACATCATATATCCTATATGCTCAAGTTAGGTGCTCTTATAGACATAACCGTTTCCGAGCGCCACTGTCCGCACCATAGAGATGTCTTGCAAAGACGTCGAATGGCAGTTGCACCGACTTTCAGCTTTTAATAACTTCAACGCATAAATATATATCCGTCGGAATAATCGTCCGAACAGCTTTATCACCCGAAAAGGTTAATTGCATTATAATGCTCATGAACACTTTTTTACCTCGTTGCGTTCTAATCTCTTTTATAAGGTGACTTCATGGTGGCTACGTACATTTCGGGCTAATGTATGAATGTTTTAACGTTGCATGTTTCTTTCCGTTATTGCAGTAGTTGGAATTTCATGAAGGCTGTCGTGGCGATGACTATGCTCACCATTTGTGCTCTGCTTTTCTTAGGTGAGTTAAGGCCATTTGATTAGAGAGTATTCGAACGTTCGGGCATTTGAATTGTGCTGATTTGGCGGACAACTGGATAAAATTATTCACATAGGAAGCCTTGTGTCTTATTTCAGTTTTATTGGAGTCATGCATGTTATGCCGTATTGTTTGAGGAAGCATAAGCCTCACGTGGGGCTGCACAGAGCTATGACAATTCAAAATGTCTAGTTCACTCTAGTTACGGCAAAATATAAGCAATGCTTCATGACCGTGGTCATATGCTACAGTCGCGGCGTATGTATTTGTCAGTTGTAGAAAGATAGTTGTTTATATTTATTTAGAAAGCAAGCGTAAGGCTGGAACGAACCATCATAAGTAAGCAAAGAAAAAAAACTGAGCCACTACACAATGCCAGCAACATGCGCTTGATAGCTTGTAGTGTCATGTTGCATTGATACTGGCACAAATGTCAATTCTTCTGCAAGGTATTCAATCTGAAAAAATATATTTCAGTACGATACGTTTTTAGCCTAATAGTACTTGTGAAATACAAAACATACGTCATTGATAAAAACCACCAATTTATTTGTGAAGTAAATAGGAGGTGTTTTTTTCCACAGCTGGCACATTCACGACACGACTGTGGAGCTTTCAAGCTTGAACCCAACTGGCAGAGGATATCTTTGCGACTGGAAGGACTGGCACAAACGTGGTGTTTCCTGCAGTGTTTCTTGTTAAGTTTTTTCTTGTTTTCTAAAGGAGCACATCAAAATTTTCTGCGAAACTCAATTTGCACAGAAGTGAGACGATCTTCAACCCCAGTGTAACGATACTTTTAAAAGCAGCCGCGACGCTTCCACGACAAGTATTCTTCTGATAACACGTAATTGAAATAAAAGGAATAGGCCTTCTTCAGTTTTCACTTTATAAGACTGAAATTCTAAATGTGAAAAATTCGTGATCATAGCCTGAAAGGCTACAGTATCTCGCTGATTTGACTCTAATGGTAGATCCTAATTGTAGGTAATCATGGTGGTACAGATACTACTATAACACTGCTTTGTCGAAAAAAAGTTTTACACGAAAAAGAATAATACCACTTCCCGGCAAGAAAGTTCACTTTCAAAACTTTGCATTTGCTTTTGCAATTTTGTGTTTAATGAAAATTTCTGGTACAAATGTTTGTCACAGCAAGGAGAGCCTATTTCATGCCTTTCCAGGTTAGTATAATATTTTTTTTGATTACGTGTTGGCTTCGTGTGTTTTTTTTTGTTTTCTTTACGAGCCGTAAAGAGTTTCCAAAAGAACGGAAGGAGCTCTGCGTACATCAGTAATTTTGTCTTAGTGCTTTATGGTTTACGTCGTCTATCCAATTATTACCTGTACACAACTTATTGCATATAATAAAATTGTCCTAAAAAGCCACTTTTTCATTCTAAAAAAACAAACTTAACCACACGAAATAGATTACTCCTCTTACCGCACGTCTTATCTCGGAACTCGTTTGAAACCGCTCCTCATAATTTATTCTTATTTGTGCTTACGGCAGCATTTGCATGCAAATACTGGAAATGAGGCGTCACCGCTTTGTCTTTCGTTGTGAAACCATATGATAGCACCCTCTGTGTGTTTCTACGCAAGTTCTGGTGCCCATCTGCACAGCAAATGTACCTACTATAGTAAGGGTATTGTTGCTTAATTGTGCTCATTATGTCAATACTCACAAAATAAAAACAATTACAGCGGACCAATGAAATGCACAAGAAACAACGTGATGCATGACATTGACGACGTGTTTGATCTCTTGTAAAAAGAGACAAAGCACTACTTTGGAGATCAGTTTCAGTTACGCGATGAAGTCTTTAAGTAAATAATGGGTGACCCAAAGGCTGCTTAATGGAATCTTGGCCATGACGGTCACGTGTTCGATGGAGGATGACATGCTAGACTAGTCAAGTTCAGTGCTGTCAGGTGCAATTAAGGAACCCCAAGTTGTCGAAGTTTCCCGCCTCTACAGTATCGAAACTATCATAGCGTCGTTTGGCGACGTAATGCGCCAACAATTGCTATTTTTCCCAAATATCTGCCACACCGCCATAGCGGGTGCCGACTTCTGCAAGTGCAATTGCACGTTGTTCGTTCCGCCGTAGGACACCCTATTGTCAAATAAGGAACTGCCCACTGCATCATAACTTATCATTTTGCTCAGTATCGAGTCACTCCCCCCGCGTCAGTGAGGAAATATGCGCACTTACGTAGCTGCACACTTTGTTGATGGTGTGGCTGCAAGTGATAAATTCTGGCCGAACCAATAGTAACGGCTGGGAAGCTTAAAACCACCCACCCGTTTGGCAGTTTATGAGGTGTGTGTTTTTTTAGGGGCGAAGCTTTATATTGCGACACCCGTTCGTCCCTCGTAGCCGTTGCAGTAGTGTGTAACAAGTATAACATTTTGACCTCCAAGGTAGTGCCGGTGAGAGATTTCTTCTCTGCGTTGTTGAACAATAAAACATAATGCTCAATGTACATGCCAATAGATGCTAAGAGGGAATGAGAGACAGGAGAATTCGGCTTTTAGTGTACGCGCACGCTGCGAATTTTTATTTTTCAACAACGCACAGAAGAAAATAAAGGGTTGCTACGTTATACTCGCTGGGCGTAACCTCCTAGGTTTTAGAAAGGTTTAGCGAGCGTTGGGCCGCAGTGCCATGAATACAGTGAACTAGTATATACCATGAACTTGAGGTGGTTAAAGGTGGGAAGTCGACACGATGGGCAAGCCGTAAGAAAGTGTGGGTGTGTCTCCTCTCATTCAGTCTTTAGGAAATCCGCTGGATGGCGGTGCTTCTGTATGAGGAATATATGGTGAAAAGATGCGAGATGATGGTACTTTGAAAGTTGAATAGGTGGACCAATGTACACACAGACAGATGCATGGACGGACGCATGGATAGCTGCACGGACGGATGGACGCATGGACGGACGCAGGAGCAAATGCATGGACGGAAGCAGGGACGGACGCACAGATGAACGTGTGGACGCACGAACACGCATAGACGGGCGGATGGACGCACGGGCGGCCACACAGACGCACGCGTGGATGGACGGAAGCAAGATCGAATGCACGGACGGATGTTTCGCCCCACTACCCATCGTTCACTCCGTGGATATGCTGCCATTTTTTTCTTTCTCCTTTGCCAGCCGTAATGATGTACCGTCTTTTCTGTCTTCTTCATTAGTCGTAATGATTTGCCGAAAGAGATTTGCCGAAAGAGAAAGAAAGAGATTTGCCGAAAAAATCTCGAGTGCGTACGCTCGAGATTTTGTCTTACTACATCATGGTTTACGTTTTCTATCCGCGTGTCTGCGGGAGCTCGGGCGGGGCGCGTGGTTGAGAAAGACCGAGCCTCAGGAAGATACCGGGAACACTATGACCGACGGCACCACCAAACAGCGCTCTGGCAGCCCCGTCAAAAAACAAGAGGCGGAAGATGACGGGCACTCCATCCTGCTGTCCTGTCGGCTGTTTGTGTTCATTGCAGGCGCAGTGTTCATGGCGCTAGTGGTCCTGTTTGGAGTGTCCAATGGTGACCAGCAGCAGCGCGGACTATCAACAGCCGCACGTCCAGACCTTCCTTCGGCGTTCAACGCCCATCAGCCAGTGCCTGGTCCGATTTTTCGGGAAGCTTCTCACTGGGAGGCGCACGCAACGCCGCGTACCAACAAGACAAGTTAAACGATCTTGGTACACAAAACGGACAGCCCACACAAGCTCGCTCACTGCTGTGCGTCATGTCTCGCTCACTGAACAATCCGGTCCAGTACCCACGCCAGAACTGTGGGCACATAGTCTATCACGACGTGGCGTGCGATCCGTCCTCCGGACAGTTCACCCCCGTGAATTCGCCCACTTTTGTGGCTCTTCGGATGCTGAGCGAGGATGCTGTTCACATTTTTGCAAGAATTTGTGAAGCCCCGGAGTTATCCTCGAATAAACTATGATCTGCCACGCAGTGTGCCTTGTTCAAGATATCCCGCTTCAATCCTACTAGTACGTCTTTTTCTGATTGCGAGGGATGCCTGTGTGAAAGAACGGCGGTGGGATTTTCAGCATGTGCGACATTTTTGACATCTACGACACAGAAATCGACTGACTGTTGCAAGCACACAACAGAATTCGCTGGGAAGCTCGCTCAATAAAACTGTCTTTTCAAGCACCTGAGCCTAAGTACACCGACGTCCATACCTTCCGAATACCCTGAAATGCGGGCACCATGGTCAGGAAGGAAGCCAGCGTCTTTGAGCCTAGCAGCGCGAGATGATGGCCAGGAAGCGCTGCCACGCCCGTTGCTGTATATGTAAAGTTCAACAGAGACACCAGGAAAATTGAATGGTGATTTCCGTCCGAATGCAATCTGCTCATTTTTTATGGGCTCTTAGTGCCAAGTACAACTACGCATCAACCAATCAGCTCTAACGTCATGCTCGACTGTCTTGCTGGAGTGGTCACTGTAGTGCTGCTACTATATAAAAAAAAGAAATATGCTCATAATATTGAAAGAACACTTCTGCAACGAACATTCTTTGCTTCGCACCTATAAACGTTTCTCCTAAGTGTTGTTGTATGAGAGTGGGAGACTAGCATACTTTTCTGTGCTCTGCTCGCGCATGTCAGTGAATTCTAACGTGTCTTTTTCTCACTGCAGGGACTTTAGCGGTTCGTCTTGCTGAATCCGAAGCTAGAGTCATACCTTCAGAAGAGGCCCTGCGGGGTGATCATGCTTCGCGCGAATCAGAAAGAAGTATTGGTGGTGGCTGCGCGGCCTCCCTCTGTGGCTAGACACTGCAAGTTCTGCACCTACGGCATCAATGTAAATGAGAATAAGCTACGCACTTGTCGCGTTTTCGCGGTCAAACATTCTTAGAGGTGGTGGCAATACATTTCTAGTTACCTCATTTGGCTACACATCGGTGTGCCCTACTGATGAATAAATAAATAATTTTACGCTAATCCTATGAGCAATCGTGGTATTTATTTCCAGACGTTGTGTAAACAAACGTGCAGTTTCTGGAGCGTGTCTCATAGCAGCAGCAACTGACAGCACTTTAGATAATGCAAAACACCTTTCCTTTCTGTTTCAAGTACGGAGTCATTAAACACTTTCACGACCGCGGAAAAATTGGTTCTTTTTGGGTAGTATAGGAAATAATCTATCTATCTATCTATCTATCTATCTATCTATCTATCTATCTATCTATCCGAAGAAAGTTGACAACTTGCTGATAAGAACTATACTTTTACATCAACGCGCGGCAGCGGTAAAAGGGCCCAAGGAGATAGCGTGACTTACTGGCGAACACCTGCAGGTTTATAGGGAGGATTGACGTGCTATATTCGTTCGTATTCAAGCCTGACGAATTTAAGTTGTCTTGCGCGTCAGCGAATTGTAGGAACGGGTTAAATGGTATTCTATTTCAAAATTGGTTACAGCGCAAGGAACGACACGAGACAGAGGGACCGATAAAAACATGCACTGACTTCCAGCTAAAGTTTATTCGGAAGAACAAGCAATTTTAGAAAAAAACTAAAGTATTCAATAAAATAAAAACATGGATGACCCTCTTTTTAGAGATTGATATAACACAAAAGTGAAACGTGTCTTCACCGAGGTAGTTGAGCTCTGCTTTGCGTTTATTTACATGGTATACATTTCGAGAGTGCGTCCTCAAAGGCTCTGGGGGGCTCCTTATATAAAGTACTTTCTCCCCAGATCCATCAATCGGGGAATGGTTCCCGACCGCGCTGTCTAATAACGCGTCTTACAGTCCTTCCTAGTGCCATCATGCCGGTACCACCCTCAACATACACACCTACACAAAACAAACACGCATATTGTCTCGGCGATGCTGCCCCCTCCAAGCTTGCTTCCAATGAGCGGGATGCTCGGGCGACCACCCATGCTTTGTCGGACGGTGTTCACGGGCTCGGCGTCTCCGAGGGCCAAAGCCTAGACATCCGGTGACAATTTAAGCGTCGGCGGCCCATCAGTCAGAGACGCACAGGCGTCTTCGGTGGAAACGCGGTGTTGTGGCCTTGCCTCCCAGTAGATGAAAACCAGCCGTGCGTCTTCGCGCTCCTCCTTATTAACTTCACAAAGTGAAGTGGCTGCTTTTCTTTGATCCCGGCGCCTGCGTAAAGGCGGAGGGCTCATCGAATGCAACAGCTCGTCCACCAGCTGGAGACACCACCTGAGGGGGGACCAGCTAAACAGGTTGACCAAAGTGTCCTTGTTAGGTGGCATTCTCCGATTCTCTGCCAATTACGCATCATGTCATTTTCATACGTTTCGTGGGAGGGTCTTTTTCCTGGGTTCGCACAAACACACACACCCAAGTCAAAGCACTGGAGAGCACCCTGTCCACTCTAAGACACATCGAGTCCGTATGAAGCGTATAAAACAAAATAGTCCTTATACATTACATTACATTTAAAACACGAGAGAAGCAATCATAATCTTCCTTCGAGTACTTAAGCCGCGCATTTGATAAGAGTATAAATGGGCAAACAAAATACGAGACTTCGAGTGAAGAGTTTTCTTGAACGTCTTTATGATGAAGGCCTACTTAAGCCATCAGCGTTACCGTTAATTTTTCCTTTCCCGTTCAACATCAAAGTTATACTGCTGAAGTGCCATACTCCATCTGAGTAAATAACCATTTTTGGGTGACATGTTTCGCAGCCATTTGAGCGGGCAGTGATCAGTCTGAAAGGTGAATCGGGTGCCTGAAAGATAGCAGGACAGTTTCTGTGCAACCTAAACTAGGCAGGCACACACTTTATCGGAGGCACTGTACTCCTTTTCTCGAACAGTTTGCTTACGGCTAGTGTACACAATGGGCTGTTTGCCATGTACATAATGTACACAATGGGCTGTTAATGTACACAATGGGCTCGTCGCGTTGACAAAGTACCGCTCCCATGTCACAGTCACTGGCATCTCCTTGCCCCATGAATGGTCGGTCATAATCAGGTGCTTGCAAAATCAGACGGCTGATGAGCGCCGACTTCAAATTTCGGAAAGATTCCTGCTTTTTTTTGATCCCATACCAACGTGGTGGGTCCCTTTTTTCGCAGTGCATCAGTGAGTGGACTCGCCAATTACGAATAGGTTCTTAGGTAGTGCTGATAGTAGCCCGCAAGCCCCAAGAAAGCGCATACGTCAGATTTCGTCTTGGGTCGCGGGTAGGATGCAACGGCCTTCACTTTTACATCAGTGGGCATCCGACGTCCTTGCCCTACTACATGTCCCTGGTAGCTTACTTGAGCGACACCCAAGTTACATTTTTCTGCCTTCATTGTCAAACCAGCCTTACTCAGACGCTCAAGCACTTTCCTTGAGTGATTCAGATGTACCTCCCAACAGTCCGAAAAAAACGGCGATGTCATGAAGGTAAGGCAAGGCAAAGTCATTTAAACCATGAAACACCCTGTCCGTGAGTTTAGAAAAACAAAACGGGGCATTCTTGAGCCCTAAACTGAGCATCAATAGACGGAAGAACCCAAAGGGTGTTACGAATGCGGCATAGCGACTTGCTCGTGCCGTCAATGGCACCGGCCAGTACCCGCGAATGAGATCAAGAGTAGAAATGTACCGCACCTTATTGACGGTCTCAATCCTTTCCTCGCTGTTAGGGATAGGATAAAGCTGACCTCTCGTCTTGGAGTTCAACCACCGATAATCAATGCATGGACGCGGCTTCTTACCGGGAACTTTCACCATCAGCATAAGAGAAGCGTAGTCGCTATCACTTTCCTTTATTACTCCGAATTCGAGCATCCTTTGAACTTCTTTTTGCATTGTATCTCGCTGCTTCGGGGATACGCGGTATAATTTTGCCTTGACTGGCTGTTCGGATGTCAACTTAATATCGTAAACTATCTGATCTGTTCTTCCCGGTCTATCTGAAAATAAACCGTTGAACCCCTCGATCAGGTTCTTCAAGTTCTGAATTTGGGCACCTGTCAAATTCGTGTGACTAACCATCTTCTTCCCCCGCAGGGGCGCTTGCGCAAGTTGGCGTTTGGTGTGTAGCGACACCACGGACCCGAGCTAACGGGGGTGTTTTGACTCCCTCCCACGTCTAGCCGTGCGTGGCTTTGCCGTGTCCGGGGAAAAGGGGATCCTGGGGGTTGAGCCGACGCTGTGTGGTTGGACCTTTAGGGCCCCCCGGCGGAGGCAACACACGCCTTTGGCCCCGGCTTCACGTAGACGGCACCCCTGGGCTCACCCACCCAGGGGAAATCGGCAGTCACCCTTTCCTATCTCTCTCCCCTACAACTTCGTCTTTACCTCACTCTTTTTTAGTCTGTCCTGTCTACTTCTCTCTTCTGTTTACTTCAAATTTTCCTGGTGGCAAGGGTTAACCTTGTGTAATTACTCAACCTTGAGCAGTTATATTTGGTTATAGTGGCAATATACGGGTGACGTCTGCAACCTAATGCTATTAAGTGCTTCAGCGTCCCCTGGTTGGACTCCAAGGTGGGTGGTCGGCATTGCTGCCGAAAAAAAAATAACACTACTATGGGAACACCTGAATTTCCCCGTCTCCTAGATCGTATTCCGCTTAAGAGGGGACGCACCGATGAAATATCATTTTTCAGCCAACCCAGATAATGCTTTCCTAACTTTCGTGTTCTGCACAGCGAAAATCTAACAAAACAAGCCAGAGCCATATCTCCGTTTCTTACTGCGAAATACCTGACTGGGGTCTTTGGCCCAGGATACAAGGTTACAAAGATGGCTAGTGGAGACCTTCTCCTTGAGCTGCCTGAAAAACATCACTATGAAAAACTTGGCAGTCCCGTAGCATTTGGTGATATCCCAGTATCTGTTTCACCTCATATATCAATGAATACCACACGCGGAGTTGTTTCAGAAGCAGACCTATTGAAATGTCTGAACAGGAACTGCTTGAAAGGTGGAAAGAACAAAATGTCACGGACGTGAAACAAATCATCATCAGACGCGACAACAAAGAAATACCTACCAAACATTTAATACTCACTTTCGCATCTAGCACACTGCCTTCATCTATAGACACAGGCTACATCAAACTCTCTGTCCGTCCCTACATTCCCAATCAGAGACGGTGTTATAAATGTCTACGATTTCGTCATGGCTCGCAGAACTGCGGGGGTCAGGAAGCTTGTGCAAGATGTGGTAGCCACGGCCACTCATCTGATAACTGTGTTACTACCCCTCACTGCATGAATTGTGACGGGGAACACGCCGCATATTCACGTTCGTGTCCTAACTGGAAGAAAGAAAAAGAAATAATCACTCTTAAAGTCAAAGAAAATATTACATTCAAAGAAGCAAGACGAAGAGTGTCGCCATTTTACGGCACAACATATGCTGAAGCGGCGCGTCAGAGGGCAACGCCGCACCAGCCCTCGCCACCCCTTCGGCCAGCGCAGAGCGAGCCATCGGCTGTGGCGCCTGCCCCCAAGGCGGCAGTAGTTCAGTCTACTCCGCCTCCAAGCAAATCGAGGCCGGAGACTCCAGGCTTCTCTGGTCTCAAGGCCTCACCTCACCAGGCGAGGCCTAAAATTAAAACCACCAGCTCGCATGTGCGGGCATCCAGTGCCTCTGAGCAGGCAATGAATACAATGGTACCCTTGGTACCGAAGGAGTGGCGCGCCTCCTTGGAGCGCGCCAAGAAAAGCAAAAAACCAATAACGGGGCCGGACGACCATCCTGCCAACTGAATTAACGAGCTCACTTCAACACAGGATACTCTTTGTGCACACACCAGCATCTCTCTTGTTTATATGCAGACAGAAATATTACAGTGAAACATCCGAGGCCTTCTTCGAAACCTCGATGACTTACAAGAACTCCTCCATGAACACAATCCAAGAGTGCTGTGTGTACAAGAGACACATTTAAAACAAACAAACACAAACGTTTTACGTAACTACGTAATCTTCCGAAAGGATAGAGATGATGCCATGCCAC